GCCTCGGTTGGTTCGCTGACCGGCCACCGCCTCGACCTCCAGTTGTGACTGGAACGAAGGGCCGAACGAGTAGCCGACATCCCGGAGGGCCTTGTACCAGGCCTGTGCGGGCATGGGGTACTCCAATGGCTTAATAGCCTCCCAAGGAGCATCTAAGATGGATGGCAGAAGAGGGTTAGAAATGCGACCGTTGAACATCAGATGTAGATGTATATTTATATATCAACAGGGGAAAAGTCAGAAATAAACGAGTAAACATACCTTCATCGTTAGGAGTCTCTAGCATGATCATCCCAGAGCAATGGCGGGTCGTGGTAGCGTCCTCATGTAGCGTTAAAACCGTAAAATGGTGCCACGAATCCGCGCGTTCGTCTTTCGGGGTGAGGGTGAGCATGATGCGCTGGTCGGTGCCCTCCTCCAAGACCATCGCTTTCATGAAGGTGACATTGCGAAGCCGGTACGCCACGTTATGAACCTGCAAGTTTTGGTCGATAAACCCTCGCGATTGACCCATCTGGAAGGCTGCCTCCACCGCCATGGCGATGTAGCCGGCTGCCGGGAAAAGCACCTGACCCCCAATGCGGTGGTCCAGCAGCCAAGTAAGCTCAGGCAGGCGCAGTAGCTTCTTCCACACCGGGGCCGTCCACGGGGTCCCTAGGACCTTGCCACCGAGCAAATCGTGGTTTGGATACCGGCGGAAGCGCCAATCCCGGCTGGCCTGGCTTTCCCACCAGTACTTAGTGGCATGGTTCCACATATAGTTTGGGAGATCAACAAGGACCGCAGGTTTGCTGTCACGGGCACTTTTGGCCCGGGCTGTGGCATTGACTTGATTGATATTGATCGGGCCGTCGGCCAGGAAGAGCCGTCCAGCCACGTCGAACAATGCAGTTGGCTCGAAAGCGTTTCGTCTGCAGGCGGCGTGGTAATCAATTCCAGCACCATTGGATGGCAATGCTTTGAGGATCTGCTTGACGGGGCCAGCCAGGGCCCCGCTGGGTCCTACCTCGATGAGGAAATCCACAGGATCCGCATCGGTCAGCATGGCTTCTACTGCCTCGCTGAAGCGCACTGGTAATCTCATATTCGCTTCCCAATACGCGTTGTCCACTGAACCCTGCATCTCGCACCCTGTGACGGATGAAAACAACTTAGCACCGCGGCGCCGCGGCGAAACTGGAGACGACGAACCCGGCCCCCTAGCGTCTAGCAAGCTTTTGTAGTGGGCTGCAATATCAGCCATGAAGGGAGAATGGTACGGCAGGTCCACCTGCAGCAGACGCGCAAAGTGGCCGTGCTCATGGAGCTGGTGGCACACGGTCTCAAGAGCTGAAACGTGGCCCGATAGAGTCACGCTTTGCGGAGAGTTGATACAGGCCAGAGCAACGGCCCCAGAGTGACGCTGGAGTATCTGCTGTAAGAGAGGGCTTGTATCGCTTAGACCCGCCGCCATCATCCCCAGCTTCGGTCGCACATCATCCTGCAGATCTACAGCGGCTTTACCGCGGTAATATGCAATCTGGATTGCGTCTTCAGGTTCCAGCAAACCAGCCGCGACGGAAGCAGCAATCTCGCCGGACGAGTGACCCACCACACTGGCGGGTTGGACGCACCAGGTGCTGAGAAGATCAATAATCAGCAATTGAAGGGCCGTCACCAGTGGCTGAGAGAGCTCTGGTTGGCGCACATGGTCCGATGATCGGGGACATGTCAACTCATCTAGCAAGGGTTAGTCTGGCCATATAAAGCGACTCCTGGCCCTGGAAGACCCGCTACCCGGGTCATTCTGCAAGGCATGAAAAAAATTTGACATACCATACAAGCTCCACTGGGGAGGATGGGGAAGCGCCTGCAGCACTGCGTCCAAGTGCCGCAGCAGCCGTTGGGAAGACGGGAACGTATCGACAAGGGCCTTCCCCATCTGCGGCCATTGAGATCCCTGACCGGTGAAAATAAAGCCCACTTTTGGAACGTTGGACCGTGGCTTACCGTAGATCAGGGCATGCTGATCGACTGTGGGGGTGTTAGAGACGAGATATGCGCGGTGGAAGTGACGAGTCCGCCGTTCCGACAAAGTGTAGGCGAGGTCCGGTAATGAGACTCGTACTTCCGGCCTGACCAGGTGCATCTGCAGGCGCTGTACCGTTGCTTTCAGCGCGGCCTCGTCGTTGGCCGAAAATACCAGCAGGTGGGAGCTTTCCTGCTCCTGATCCGCAAACAAATCGTCGTCATCCGTCAAGTATGACGATTTGAATGAGGCCTCTGATGGAGGCACCGACGTACCAGCCTCATCTAGGATGACATGGACATTGGACCCGCCGTATCCATAGGAGTTGACACTGGCGCGGCGAAACGGCACATCCGGCCATTGGATCGTTCGCCGAGAGGCACGAGTTTTGAGGGCCTCGAAGTTAACTGAAACTTAATGTTAGCTGGACCCCGAAGCAGTAAGTTCGAATGCTAGAATAGAACCAAGGGTTTGATTTCAAAGAGCGCCGCCAAACTTACTAGCCGGGTTGGGTGTCTCGAAAGTAGGGTTGCCGGGGATACAGCCCTTTTCCAGGCTCATTATCGTTTTTATTAACCCAGAGAGTCCTGCAGCTGGCTCTGAGTGACCGACATTACTTTTAATCTAAGCAACCACGAGCGGTTAGTCATTGTTGAATGCAGACGCTGTAGCTGGACTTACCGAGCCGATAAGTAGGGGCCGCTCTGCTGTGCGGGTGGCACAAAAGACAGAGGCTACACTGTTGACTTCAATCGGATCCCCCGCGCGAGTGCCCGTGCCATGACACTCGACATAACTTGTGTCATTGAGGTTAGAGATGCCTGCATTCCGGTACGCCTGTCTGGTCGCGGCGGCCTGCGCCTCGGGGCTGGGACTAGCGATACCGGCGGTCCAGCCGTCACTGTTCGTGGCGGTTCCCCGCACAATGGCGCGGATGGGGTCGTTCTGGCGCAGGGCATCGGGTAAGCGCTTGAGAATGACCATGTTGACTGCTTCAGCCTTGATGTAACCGTCGGCTTTGGCGTCGAAGGTATGGCACCGGCCCGAAGGCGAGGCGGCACCTGACAGATTGCTCATGTCGATGCAGTGCTCGGGACTCATGTACAGATTGCAGCCGGCTACAATGGCAGTATCAATCTCGCCGGTCTGCAAGTATCGAGCGGCAATGTCTAGACTGACTAAACTGCCGGAGCAGGCCGTATCAATGGTCATACTGCGTTGGAAGTCGGTCAGTCACACCCGTTCACATCCTTGGCTTTCCATTTCCTCCCTGCTCGTAACCGGTGCGACCAGGGCTCCGACAACTCACCTCGGCCCCTTGATATTCAGAAAATGGCTCAGCCGGTTGCTGAGCATGGCACGCCCAACACCAACAGTGGCATTGGGGACGCGGTCCTCCGGGTCTCTACCCTGCATATCACCCCAGTCTGAATACGAGCGAAGTCAGCAACTCATGTAATAACGCACGTTATTATGCTTCCACGTTTGAGAGTTGTCGGGAAACCAGTGCTTACCGGACGCATACGAGCCCACAAAGCAGCCCACGGGCTGATTCCGGAGAGACTCCAATGTGATACCAGCATTTTCCAGCCCTTCGTATACGACCTCGAGCAACTGCCGTTGCTGGGGATCCATGGCGGTGGCCTCGGCCCGTGAGAGACCAAAGAACTGAGCGTCAATGTCAGCAGGGTCGATGTTCTCTAAGAACATGCCCCCAGGAGAGCGCATGGTACGGATGCGCTTGGTGCCATCCTCATGGCCGTGGAGGTTGAAGCGAGAGGATGGGGGCTCGGTGCTAGCGATGCCGCCTTGTTCAAGGAAACGCCAGAGAGCGGTGGGAGAGTTGCTATTGCCGGGAAGGCGACAAGCCATTCCCACCACTGCTAGTGGTTGTTGTGGGGACTGTGTGGTCTGCATTATGAAAAATAAGAAAAGGATATGTCCGACGTTGGAAATATCTCCCGTGAAATGGATATTGCATGCATGGCATAGCAATTGCCCCTTTATATAACATTTGACATGCTTTGATATAGTTGTATTAATTCGACGAGAAAACACCAAGATAATCCTTACTGTAACGTAATGACGTATGTAATGTTATTACCGTGTAATATTCTTGAATGGAAACCGGGTAGTGCTCTGACGTCCCCATTACGATTCTTCTAGACCTAGTTTGTAGACCACTAATGAGTGTGTAGCACTGATTTACAGTCCCACTGTATTGAAAAAGGAAAGACAAATAAAAATGGCCCCCAAACTGCACCCCAGCCGCTGCCAAAGAGCCTAGCTGTGGGTCCATGGGGCAGAAGGGACCGTGGGCCAAGATAAACTAGTATTTAGTGCTGACAGCTCCATTCTATTGATCCTCTGCGGGAGTCCCTATTCATTGAGACACTGCACATGTGCTAGAGTTGAATGGCATGTCATTTCGTTTACATTCAGCTAATCTCAAAGAGGAGAGAGTAAGGGAACTGGCCCCCAACTGACCCCCAAACGGCCCTCAAAAACGGCCCTCACCCCCCACCGCAGGCTGATCAAAGCACTGCTCCATAGAGAGTCACTAATGTCTGTATGCGGTTGTTGTCCCGCCGGCTGCTGCTGTTTAGTCGGGGTAGAGACCCGCAGCAGTGAGGGAGGAAAAAGAGACGGGAGGATGATAATGACCGTACAACACTTGTGCTAGCTTCTCCAACCACTGACAGTTGGTCTTGGTCTCACCCGCATCTCCTAGTACCTTGGCTCACTCAATAGACCTATTGGATAGCACGCTATATTACACTGCCTCTGATACTATTATACTTCAATGATCTAAGGGAAAATACGCGAACTGACTAACTATTTAGAAAGCTCCATAGTTTACTAGTTGCTTACGACGTTTGTTTCCCTGGAGCAGAGCTCAAGGAGTCTGACACTACGCCCATCATTCTCAAATAGACGAATAGCTCTCTCATCATTTCCCCATTGCCACAACGAGCAAAATCAATAGCTCATAATGACCCTACCAGAAGAATCCGTTTCCTTTCCCACGCTGGATGGCGTCACCCTCCGCGGCAGCCTGTATCCCGCGCCAACCCGCGGACCGGCCATCATCATGACTCCAGGAGTAAGCACTGATCTGCCCTGCCATCTGCCTTGCCTACGTGAACTAAGCCTATCCAAAAGTTCAACTCCCTTCCTAGCATGCTCGGCCTGCCGGACGTGGCGCACTACTTCCACCTGCACGGCTACACGGTGCTCCTCTACTCACCTCGCAACACCGGTACCAGCGACGGCAGCCCGCGCCATGAGATTGACCCGTCCCAGCAGACCTCTGACTACAGCGACGCCGTCAGCTTTCTGTCGACACATGAACGGGTCGACCCAGCAGAGATCTTCATCTGGGGCATCTCGTTCTCAGCCAGCGTGGCGTTGTGCACCGCGGCGCTGGACAAGCGCATCCGCGCCGTCATCGCCGTCGCACCGCTAACGGCCTTCACTCTCCCGCCGGACAAGCAACCTCAAGTGCTGTCGCGGTGCATGCAGGATCGCACCGCCCAATTGCACGGGAATGAACCCTTCTACCTCCCCATGCTGCGCAAGGACGGCACCAACCCTGCCGGGTTCGGCACGGGCATCGATCGTGAGCGATACGGACGCCTTGTCACCGCCGGCCGCGAGCTAGCCCCGGGCCATGTCAATCGCACGACTATTCAGAGCTACTACAAGCTGATCATGTGGCAGCCGTTCCCTCTGTGGGAGACCATGGTGGCTCCCACACCATGCCTGTGGGTGATCCCCGAGCTGGATCAGCTAAGTCCGGCGGAGCGCCAACGGCATTACTTTGACAAGATGAAAGGGGAATCCAAACAGATGTGGCTGCAAGAAGGTGTTGGGCATATGGACGTGGTGCAGGGGGAGCATTTGGAGGGGTTGATGGGGGTAATGTTCCGGTTCTTGGAGAATGTCATTCAGGGGACACTATAAGAAAAATAATGATCGATGATCCCCTTATCCTTAGATACGAGAAAGCTAGTGTACTGCCCCTCCATGTATTAGCAACCGAAGGAGGTATATGTTTTGATTAGTATGGTAACCGAGCTCATATTAACATTCGATATGTAGAATGGGAGATGATTTATTTATTTAAGAGATTTATATAATGAAATATCAATATATCAACAGAACCAAAAGCTATCCACATTCTATCTTTACGGTGAGACTACTTAATAAAAGACTTGGACCTAAGCAGCATGACATAAAAGCCTGCCACAGAGCTGCCCGCTACAGTGGTTCGCATCAGGTGAAAAGAAAAGTTGATGGTGGCTTGACATTATCGGCACTGGCATATATAGTGTAATTCTTCAGGTGCATCAATTCAGATTGACTTGAAACATGGCCGATATTCTGGTTGATGATTGGCAGTTATGTGTATCCAGATATGTATACCTTTGTATCAGCAGACTATTCTCTCACCCCCTTAACCCGCAACCGCACTCCCTTGCTGCCTGGTGCAACGTCCATCCCCACCATATCCCGGTAGCAGTCTACATCCCGTCGCGTCGTCTCGTACAGCTCCAAGTCCAACCGCCGGAATAGCCCTGCCAGCACGATTGTCATCAACGCGTATGCCAGGTTGAACCCAATACACATGCGGGTGCCGCGGCCAAACGCCGTCAGGTAGCGGGACAAACTCTTCTGGCCATCCGGCCCGCGCGGATTGCCCAGCCAACGCTCAGGCTTGTAGGAAGTGCTGTCCGGGAAGATGGCTTCATCGTTGTGGGTATGGTAGGTGTCCATGCTAACCATAACATGGGGTGGGATGGTCCAGTTTTTGTACTGGATGGGTCCATCACGGGCAATACGCTGCGAGCGCATCGTGACGCCGTAGGAGAGGCGGATGCCTTCCTGGATGCAAGCGGCCAGGTATGGGAGTCGCTCTAGCTCATTCAAGGGCAGTAGCGGCTGCGCAGGGTCGGGCATGGCGGCCGTCAGCTCAGCCTGCAGACGCGCAAGGATCGGTGGGTTGGCCAGGATGTGGTAGACAGTCACCAAATTGGCCATCTTGGTAGTTTCAATGCCAGCGCCCACGATACCGACGCCCTCGTCGCGCAGGCGCGGAAATGAGGTCTCCTCAACGCGGTTGGCCAGCTCCGCCGAATGTAGCATCTCAAAAAAGACGGTGCCACGCTGGTTGAGGTCATGTCGCCCTCGCATATGGTTGTCGCGCACCTGGCGGACATGTTCGCTAATCTCCTCCTTGAAGCGTGCGATCGCTTTCATGTCGGGATTGACCAGGCTGACCACCGACGGTGGTAAGGACTGCGCCAGCGCTCCAATAATGGGGAACTGCTGCGCAATATGCACAAAGTCCTTCAGCCCCTGAATCGCCCGAGTGAACGCTGAGGTGAAGTCAGGCCGCGACAGGAAGTCATAGCTGCGGTTGAATGCATAGGTCATAATCACGTCGGCCCCGTAGCTACTGAACAGGTCGTTGGTACAGACAATCCGATCTGTGCCCGCATACTCGGTAGCTAACCGGTGTGTGATGCGGTCCACGTGAGCCTGAATCATAGGCGCTTGCTCATAGGTGCGCCGCTTGGAGAAGAAAGGAACGATGGCAGCCCGCCGGCGCTTGTGCAGACTGTGCTCCGGCGTTGAGAAGGAGGCCAACGGACTACCAAAACGGTCCTGCACGTGCGGCGATTTGTCCAGCCCCCGTTGTGAGGTGTAAAGAGTCTCGTAGTACTCTGTATCGTGGATGTGCAGCTCTGTGGGACTGATGCGCACAATGGGGCCTGTGTTGTTGAGAATAGAAACAGTTGGACACAGTCTCTGGCAGACGAATAGTCCAAGGTCATGGGTTACTTACCATACTTGTCATGCAGCTCGCGGATATGGAATGTGAACTGCCCTCCTCCCTTTTTGATTAACTCAAAGTAGGCCTCATACCACCCAGTGGCCGCAGCCAGTTTGGGCCCTGGGAAGGGAGCCAAAGGACTCCACCAGAGACGATAAACTACCAGGCCGGTAATATAGAGCAGACAGCCGGTGACAGTTAGTGCCAAAAGGTTCATCTTGTGGATTCTCACAATGTAGATGAATGTAGGAGAAGGGGAAGGAGACGAAGACGCAGGAGAGTCACGTCGGTGGTTGAAGGTCTGGCAAAGTGAAAATGTTGGATGCGGTCAACCTCATAATATAAGTTTATGACCTACATCCAATTACCATACTAATGCAGGTCGTCCTAATCAAATACTGGTTCCATCCATCTTATAAGTATGGTATTCATCATGTAAGCTTATCAATTACAAAGATCGTCTATGTACCGTATTCTGAAATACAGATACAAGATACAAATGGTAAGATACTGGCGGATAGCGTGAGACATAAAGTAATATTTTACTAACTAATTATTATAAGGCTTACTCCTCCTCGTCACTGCCTCCACACAACGCAGGGTGACGGACCTAAGCCGAGCCGGCCTGCAGCGGACTAGAGTACACAGCCCTGGTTCAGTTACGCGATGGTTTCCGCCCCATTTCAATGTTCCAGGTATCGACCACATAGATATTCTCCTCATCGGTCCTCGTCGCTGCTAGGTCTCCATGTTCGCTCGTCACCGTTGTCCGGTGCAGCTTCGATGTTGAGTCCATACTGGCATTGAGACGCTGGAAGTCCTTGTAGTTACGGGTGCTGGAAGCGGTCGTTGTAATGGGGTCGATGCTCGAGTGGTCAGCCGACTTACCCGTCGTGCTGCCGCCGCGCAGTCGGCGCACGCTGCTAGAGGAAGTGGCCAGGGTCGAAAACTTCTCCATTGCCGGTCGCAGCGTAGGAAGACATGCAAGGATTGCTCCAAGCAGGGTCTCCAGGATCATGAATGTGCACAGCGTGGTAGTTGAGTAGGTCAGGTCTGTGCCCATCAAGTCATTGATGAGGGTGATACGGCAGATGGTGATGATGCAGATCCTACGTTTGATTAATCCACATAAGATACGACGAGAGAAAACCATGAATCTGAGTAAAGTGACTTACGCGATTCCCAGCGCGAACATGCACGATAAACTGATCTTCCGACGCAGCTTCAACTGAAGCGTCCATAGGACTGGAATTGGTAGCAGGCCGACCATGACATCGAAGATCAGGTTGGTGATGTGCAGTGACAAGTAGGCGCCTTCCTTGCTGCCACAGTGGCCCTTTGCCGTGACATCCCAGTTCAGCTGAATCGGATGGCAGAGAAGCAATGAGGCGAGGATCACGCCAATGCACCAGATCACCTGCAAGGCGATCATGGCATAACAGCATCGGATGAAGGTCTTGCGCCGGAAGATGCTGATGTAGAGTAGGAGGATCGAGATTTTGACTCCACTGATGGCAACTCCCCAGATGGGCGAGATGGCAAGGTAGATCTGGAGTGTGACCATCACAGGTCAACCAGTGATCCAAGCTGAAGGATTGCTGATGGGTCTCACCTTGGCAAACCTAACTAACTGCACCGTCGGATTTGATAGTTCTGTGATATGTTGACCGAGACCTCCCAAGACGGTGGCTGTGCGAAGGGAGATTGTCTTGTTAGATTCAAGCGCTGGAGGATAGCATGGGAGTTTCGGCATCCACCCGTACCTAGAATGAGACAGATCACTAGACCGGTTGAAAAGATCTAGATTGCCACAAAAAGTCAGTATGCTTTGCTGGACAATCTGATGCAGTTTACACAAGGGTCTTACCAAGGCGACCAGAATAGCGATATCATGAGCCGCGGTGCTCACCCGCTTCAGTCGGTGTGAGTAGAAACGCAGCCCCACAGCGAGGATAGCCAGCACCTCGAGCACAAGCGAAACTACCACGGGGGCGACTGCCCGGGGGAAATCAGTCCACGAGGAAGATGTGGCAGCGGCCATGATTGCTTCTCTGCTTCTCGTCCCAAGTGTGTCTTGACAGAAACATGAAAAACGTGGGGTGGACACGTCAAATATTCAGTAAGCAGTGGATCGAGAGGATTCAAATATCCGGCCTGGTCAGCCTTGGAAGGAAGTCCCGAAGGGAAATGTGAAGAAAGGTACCAAATGAGGGACAGGAGTGAGGGGGCCGTTTGCACCATGGGAGGGGCGGGTTGAAGCCTGGACGGTAGCCAAGTCAGCTCTAACTCTGACAGGGAGCCATATCGGGCCATAATATTATAGGAGGTGAATGGGGATGTGTGAGTGGTCAAGAGTCATCATGCATGATGAGGACTAGACAGGGACGGCCTGTGTCCGGAGGTTACCATATGTGCAGACATTGGGGGCTGTGTGCAGAATGGGACTGCCTTATTGGGGGCTGAATTCTCGGACGAGGTGGATGCAATGCAGGCCAGACCCTTATCTTCGAGGTAAACTCATACGCATGCCAAATCGAGCCCCGGCTATGCAACGCAAATGAGCCTGTAGCCATGACAAGCTGACACCCGCCCTGCATTGCAAGTCATTTTCGCCCCCATACGCTAGTAGGGTCAGGGTCTGCAGCCTTGCTAGAATCACCAGTAATGCCGGTATTTTTGGTACTTTTGGTATTTTTGGTATTTTTTGTACTGTCAGTATAGTTAGTATCATCAGTCTCGTCAGCAGTGGCCGGTCATATGGTAGTAGTACTCAATATACCGCGAAATTATTGGTCAACATGTCAAGTGGCTCCAAGTTGATTGTCATCGACAAGAGGCAGGAACACGGCTTGGGCTCGGCAATCAGTAGTGCTAGGGTTGATAGTATCGCTGAAACCACATAAATACAGAGTCATGAGAAGCAAACCTCTGTCAAAGCATCCCTCCTCTACCCCCAAGCCCTCCTCCTATCGCCATGGTCCGTTCCCTTCACTGGCTAGCCACTTCGGCTGGGCTGGCTTTGTTGCCCTTCAGTCAAGCCATACCCGCTCTAGTTCAGGGGTCTTCGACATGTCGCTACCTCCCCGGCGACTCCGAATGGCCATCGGCTGCAGACTGGCACCAGTTG